TTTTAACATTACAAATAGGTATTCAGGATTAGTTAGTATCACAGTTGATATGAATTGACTTTTTTGTAAAATATCCTTTTTTTATTTTAAATATACCTTTCAATTAAAAAAACCAGCCCAAGTTGGCCAATTATTGCCCAATGATGTATCACAAATTGAATTTAACAGAAATGGGCAATTATTGGCCATTCATTGATTTCTATATGATTGGTCAATAATTGCCCGTAAATGCGGACGTATCTGTGCCCAATAATTGCCCATTTTGAAATGGACAATTTTTGGGCAATTATTGGGAAGTTTGTGCTTATTGGGTTACATATTCCTTGGGGTTGTTAAAAAAAATACATTTCATCTTCAAGTTATAACGAATTTTAGAATTTAATAATAATGATAAATTTTTGTTAAACAATACATGAAAAGTGCAATTATTAAAAGTATAAAGTGAGGTAGGAACCGTCTGACAATTTAAAACCTTAGTTGTCCAAATCACAGTGAAAAATGAAATATGCCTATCACTGACGCCTAACAACTAATTACTACAGGCTATAGCCCTATAAGTTCAAGCTTACTGTTGATTTTTATGTGCCTATGCCATAATTACTTCAGTGTCCTGTATTGACGACAATAAAGTTTAATTTATCTATTTTGGTTTCATAATGACTTCATTATAACACCGCTTTTGGTTCTTTAATGAGGTACTTTATTCCACCCAAAATTTTGATTTTATAGGTTGGCTACTGGTAAAATACAATTTTGAATACCTATAGGTTATAATATTTTAATGATTTGTTTTCTAGTACTTACTAGACTTTTCGTGCAATAAATTTTGTTTAACACCAAAGAAAATCCTTTTTTCTTCTTTAACAGCCGCTTATTGTAAATACTTATTGTAAATTAACGACGCCATAGCGAAAGAATGTGATAATGTTTGAAAGGTTAATGACCTTTCAAACTTCAAACTAAGATACCAACTATGTAAAGTAAAATTTGACCAAATTAAATATAAGGTATAAAATTAATTTGTTTTATGAAATGTTTGCAAAATAGATAAAATAGCATAAAGAACTCATGTCATAAGACCTTTTGTCGCACTTGTCCATTATAAAACTCGCTCCTTCGTCGCTCGTTTTATAAATTGTCCGCGTGCGACAAAATGACGTCTTATGACATTAGTTCTTTAATATACTATTATAGACCTCTTATAGATAATAGTATATTATGTATCAAGTTTTATAAATGGCATTTTAGTTTAATAAAAACAAGTGTCTAGCGAAGTTTAAAAACGAGTTGCATACTATACTTTATCTACGACGAACAAAAAGTGGATAAAGTAGATTTATTAGGTTAAAAAAATTAAACCTTTCCTTTAAGGCTAGAAAACGCGTCGTAAATTTAACTATATTTTAAAAAGCTTCGAATAAAAATATGAGCGAGTATTTATACAGGGTATCCAGAAGATGGCGCACTAACCCCGCACCACTTTAGAGTCCCTCTATGGACTCTACACCACATGGTTTGCGAGTAGTTATAACTTTATAATAGTTAATATTTAATTTTTTTTATTTATTTATGTATAAAATGATTGCGGATAATTTTTAATTAAAAAAAAGAAATTACACTCACAGGCAAAATAATCGATCCACACAAATTTTCGATTAATTTCAATCGCAAATAACTTTCGGATTTAAACAAATATTAAAATAAAATTTTAAAAATTACTAAAAAAATAGACATACGTTTATAATATACAGGTTTAAACAAAAAGATGTTTTTTACCATAAGTTTAATACACTCTGTAGAGTGGCTAAACCGTATATTGTTCTAAATTAAGTTTTAATTATCAAGTCACATCTATTCTTAACAGTTTTGTTTTTGGTTCACCTCGATATATTTATTTTTGTGGAAAATATGGATTTTTTTAACCCAGTCACGTTCGAGTGCTCGTCAAAGTTAGTCGCATCTTGTATCTTGCCGTCGCGCTCTTGAAACTTACAAACAGCAATGCTCGCAATGATTGCTTATAAAGTGCAAATAGTCTGTAGTGTGGCAACTAGTGTTTCTGTAGTCCACCCTAAGGTCAGGGAAGTGTTGAAGTTGAAGTGTAGAGTGACACCTTACGGGTGGTCCAAAAACTCTTAAAATGTAGTGCCACCTGTCATTGGAGGCTTTTCACTGGACGGACGGGGGAGGTCGGAGAAGAGGGGAGGTGGCCATCCGCAAGGGGAAAAATCTGATAAGTTTTACTTTAAGAGTATGCATGACCTGATACAAATCTGCAATATAAATACGGCAGATCCCAGCAAGCATTTTCCGTTATTTGTCACCATTAACATCGCCCGTATTCATTTCAATAAACATAACATTTATTTTACTTGAAAATGTTAAAATAACTTTAAAATATGATTATGTTAAGAACATATTTTACTCTTTAAACAATTGTTTTGTTTTTAACTACTATCATTGCAAAATTGTATTAAAAAGTGTTAAAAATTCTTACACGGGCGATGTTAATGGTGATAGGTATCGTTAAAGTGTTTATTGGGATATCTTTAAAACCTATGAAGGGCACGCGGCGTGGGGCAATAAGTCTGTCAACAGCAAATGCGTAAGGCGGTCCCAATCGAGACCGAAAATAAACACTGGCCTGACAGAGTAAACTAACATTGATCACATAATTCTAACACATTAAAAAAAAGGGCCTAATAGCCAAACTCGAGATTTGTAAACATTAGAAAACAGATTAATCGCGCTTGTGATTTGTTTGAACTAGTGAATAAATGCAATGCTTTGGAATTTGATAAACAAAGACGGAACTCTACCACAAAACGTGCTTGGGACAAAAATTATTAAAAACAACTGACACACTTTACCAAGGGCAGGAACTATCTGACCAGGACACGGACAATGACAATAACGAACAAGACAAAGACCTCGACTAGGAACACACCCCTGCAGCGAAATAACAACTCCCCAACTCCAAATAGTAATCCCAAATGTTTGGAGTAATACTAATCGACTGGTCTAGGGGGATTCCGCGTCGTACTTAGTTTTAAGTCGGCGTAATTGTCCCCCAAAAACCAACTCCCTCCCGTCCCTCATCCATACCCCACCGAGCATATAGCATAGGCTCGGCGAACCCAGGAATGGCTATTATAACTATTCGCCTCTCGCTCTCGAGCCCCAAATAGGGGACAGTACGGAACGCAATGGACATTCGCACCCAGCAAACACGGGTGAAGCCGTGCAGTTGCTGGGGAAGAACAAAAATCGGCGTAAGTAAACATAGGCCTGTACGGGGTTCGAGAGTCAAGAGGAAATGGGGCTGGTTATACGTCTCTTATACTCATATACTCATACTCAAAATATGGATTTTTTTAAAAAACATTGCAAGTTCCAATATTTTTTCTGTACAAAGAACTAAGGTTGCTATGGTCCATAGGCTATGGAGGATGACAGTGACAGTTTTGGTGAATCATCCCATACTTGGACATGTCATATACGGCTTTCAAAAGCTATCAAATTGTTTTTTGCAAATTAATGTTTAACTTTTGAAGTGTCTTCTTACTTTTAAAAATGGATGTCTCCGACTGATGTTGTCAGAGTCATTGATTTTATTCAGGATGGACGGTCACAGAATTACGTGGCAAGTGTTTTAAATATCACAAGAAGTAACAACGTGCACATCAGTCGGAGACATATACATTTTTAAAAGTAAGAAGACACCTCAAAATTAACACATTAATTTACAAAAAACAATTTGATAGCTTTTGAAAGCCGCATATGACATGTCCAAGTATGGGATGATTCAACAAAACTGTCACTGTCATCCTCCATAGGCTATGGATGGACCATAGCAACCTTAGTTCTTCGTACAGAAAAAATATTGGAAATTTTTTTTAATCCATATTTTCCACAAAAATAAATACATCACCAAAAACCAAAAACAAAACTGTTAAAAATAGACGTAACTTGATAATTAAAACTTAATTACAATATACGGGTTTTCCACTCTTTATATTGTATATTATACTGTATATTATAAACGTATGTCTATTTTTTTAGTAATTTTTAAAAGTGAGCGAATCTCCCTTAATTTATCTACATCATTCTTTAATAGTTGTTTAAATCCGAAAGTTATTTGCGATTGAAATTAATCGAAAATTTGTGTGGATCGATTATTTTGCCTGTGAGTGTAGAAATTTTAATAATAATAAAGTTTTAATTATTTAAAGTTTAAATTTTTTGAGACAAACTGCCATAAAATAAATTTGCCAACCATGTCAACCGCAGCTGCCTTATTTAAGTTTTTTCATAACTATTGCTAGTTTTTAAAAACACTCTATGCTATGGAATCAAGTGTTTTTTAGTTTACAATATCGTCACCTAAATGTATAAAACGGACAAGTAAATTTTTTTTAATTTTTGCATTTTTTCAGTTTTTGTAACAAATGACAATAAAATGATAAAAACTTAAAAACTGGATTGGTCAGTTTTACACATTTAGGTGACGATATGTTATTGTAAAAACTTGTAATTGTCTTGGAAAATTTAAATAGGGCAGCTAAGGTTGACATGGTTTGTCTCAAAAAATTAAAATTTTAAATCATCTACATAACTTATTAGTAATATGATATTACAAATTTTTAAAGCCCTCTATCGGTTAAACAAAACATATGTATATATGATTGCTAAAATAAAAATGCATTATAAGTTATTAATTTATTATTTATAACAGAAAATTTTATTCAAGCTTATTTTGAATGCATGAATTTACCCGATGGAGAAATACAATTTATGTATTTGTAATTTGCCAGTAAAGAAAAATTATAATGTAGGGATTGATTACATTTAAAGTGTGCCTATTAATAATAATTTTATTCATTCATATTGTATAGAGATTCCTTTTTAATAACACATGCATAATTAGCGATACAGTATTAGCTTTTGATTGGCTGTTTAAAACGTTTAACTTAGCGTAAAATGTTTCTTCAATGTCAACATTTTGAACGTGCAATACCTATGCAATGCACACAGTTTGACATTATTTCGGTGTATTAAAAAATTGTGTTTTTATAAAATTGTTATGCATAATCTTGCGGTTGAAATTATTTCGGAGTATTAAAAGAAATTGTATTTTTATAACATTGTTATGGATAATCTTGCGCTTGATATCTCCGATGAGACGGATTTTGTTGCAAAAACAACGAAAGAGGTGGAAGAAAACGTAGCAAAAAGTGAGAATGAAAATGCTAGAAATGTATCAAAAACTGATGATACAAATGAAATTTTTCAAGAGAAAGATTTTTCAGCTATAGCAACAAATACAGTTAAAGAAAATGTAGTTATAAGTGAAATCCAAAGTAATAATGTACAACCAAATGATGAGAAGGATTCTTCTACAAAAATAACGAATAATGACGTGAAAAATAAACCAAAAAGTGAGATTAAAAATTTACCAAAGAATGACACCAAAGAAGTTTTTAAATCTAAAACGAAAAAAGTAAGTCTGCTTTTTTTGCCACTTGTCATAAAAATTTGTGATTTTTCAACCTATTTAATTAATATGTGATAATCTATAATTTTATTTTAAAATATTTTTATTGTCTGAATTAAATTTAGTTTTGTTTTAAAAAGCATTTTCTGTGGTACCCCTTTTTTAATATCTCCGGAGCCCTTTTACCTAATTTGACAAGCTTTTTATTATATTATTAATACTATTGCCAAAAAATTTAATAGTAGGCGTACAATTAGGGTGGGTACTATTTTTTTGTTTAATTTTTTTTGTACGATTTGGTTTAAAATATGATTTTTTAATCAAACAAAGTAACTACAAACGGTTTTAAGAAAAATGCATTTAAATATGTCATTTTTAAAATTTTACGTTTTTATTTATATTGTAATCCCAGATTGTTTAGGGGCCTTGTATAAATAAAAATGTTAAATTTTAATAAGTTTACACATTACTTAAGTAACTAACGCGTTTAGGGGGAGGGTTTACCGTTTGTGACGAACCATAACATGTGTGGGGGTTTGGATCCTGCGTTACGTCACACCAAACTAATAAAAATATTTCACTTTGCCTGTTGCCGAGTTTTTTAACTTTAAATGACTAATAACTTAAAAACTATTAAAATAACCCCCCGTACAGCGTAAAATGTTAATAATCATTATTATTATTTATTTATTTTAATTTTTTAAATGTGTTTATTTTTAATAAATTAGTAGTAAATTAGTAATAATAGGCACCTACTACCTACATTTTTTCTTAAGCTTTTTATTTTTACACTTTTAACTAGACATGTAAAAAATATTTATATTTTATAAATAAGCTGATTTTATTTTAAAAGTCATAAAGATGATAGAATACATTGAAATATTTCCAAAACCTTTCAAAATATTGTTCAACGCCTTTCTGAGCCGAATTCTTTTAAAAAGAAAACCTCTAAGTACTAAAACTTGGACTTTGGAAGAGGCATTTTTAAATGAAATTGACCACAAATTAGAGTTGACAGTTATGCCCAGTGGTGGACCGGGGTGGTAAAATAAAATGGGGCCCTTTAGTCCGTCTGTGACTTTAAGCTCAGCGCAAAAAGACTAACTTCTCAGCCTTATGACATAATATATAAAAAATAATATAATTGTTTTATTAATATCCAAAATTTCCATCATTATTTGAATGCTTATTAAATATATCAACAAATAAGTCTCAAATCAACAAAGCTATTCTACAAAAAAATTGTATACCCAAAATGCATAACGCAAAAATGGTTGTAGAATTTCACCAAAGGAAGTTTTTTGGAATTGTCAGTTTAATATCTACATACAATTTTTGTGTAAACCATTTTTTTTAAATATCAAATAACAAAGATAAAAAGGGTTCTGTAAAAAGAAAAGAAGGTAGGTAAGACTTTTTTCAAATAAATATTTTTTGTTTGAGCTTTTGTTTTCATATTGACCTTCTTTAACTCCGTTATTAATGGTCGTATTTAAAAAAAAAAAGTTTTTTGGTTTTTTCAGCTTAATATCAACAATTTTTGTGTTAAACATCCTTAGGGGTGTAAGCAGGGGGGGTTTTGGGGGTTGAACCCACTGGAAATGTGAGAAACAGTTGTGTTTCAATTATCTATTACGTTTTCCATTTTGAGTTGAAACCCTCTGTATATGGATATATTTCATGTATCAATAATATATCGTTCGATAAGATATACCAAAAAAAAATTTCAATCTGCAATCCCTGACCATACCATATCCAAAATTCAGTTCGGTCAAAATACAGATTGACTGTACCATTATTATAATAGTACAGTCAATCTGTATTCTATAATAGGTAATACATGTATTATACAATAGGTATAATATATAAAACATATTATATTTTCCAGAAATTTTAATTTATGTATGTATAAGATATGTATGTATGTACTGTCTGTCCACTCTAAGTTGGCGGAACTAAGGAATTTTGTAGTTTAGATATTAAAGAATTGTCGTACTGTGTGCTTTTAAAACAGATTTTATATTATAAATAATACTAGTACATATTATATACTACTATTATTTATAATATAAAATCTGTTTTAAAAGCACACAGTACGACAATTCTTTAATATCTAAACAACAAAATTCCTTAGTTCAGCCAACTTAAAATGGACAGACAGTACATTATTAAAATTACAGAATTTGAATTAAAATGTAAGTAATTTTGTTTTTATCTTGCATCATTTCACTTAATTGGCGCATAACTTCATTATTTAAATTGTTTTATGTATCCTTCTGTAGCCGTTATGTAAGTGATTAAAATTCAAAGAATTATAAAAAAACAATACATACGTTGTGTAATCAATTCTAATTGATTCAAATATATTTTTTATTTGTCGTTTTTTTTTAACTTTTTTATAAATTGTTAATTTTTTAATGCCTTAATTTATACTCCACACCACACTATAGATGCGAGACAAGTTCTAAAGCTTCGTACAGACCTGAACATTGAGCCGAACAACAAGCAGAACAACGAACCGAACGGCAAACAGAACGGCAAATGGCCTTTTTTGATTTCGACGATCCGAACAACAAACGGAACGTTCGTGCTGTTCCCATAATTGCTCGTAGTAAATCTCAGTTAAAGTTTTACTAAAGATGGAAAAAAGTGTAGCAGCAGCAGCTTATATATAAATTTTGCGCAATCTCCTCCCAAGCATCTTGTTTTTTAATTTTATTAAAATGGTGTGGGTGTTTTGGTTTCCACAACAACTCTTTTTTATAAATACGAGGGTTGCCTTTTATATTTCGGGAATGGCCGAACCTGCTGATGCTATCGGACAACAGATGTCTGTATCGATAAGTTCGACCTTTTAGACGGTGTTCTTACTTAACACGTTTTGACGTGCGGGCGCAATTAGTATTATTAACAGTCACTTGAAAAATTAATGTCGGCCAAAAAAATGGAATTGACCCGTGAACATTTTCGTGCTATAATTTTTACAACTTTAACGTGGATTATCCCAACAATAATGCATCGATGAACTTAATTTGACTTTTGGCGACAAAGTGCCATAAAAAACAAGTGAATATCGGTGGTGTTCAGAATTTAATCGTGGCCGTGGTTCGCTCACCGACGAATTTCGTGAAGGTTGTCCAAAATCACTCGTTCTTGCAAAAAACATTGATGCTGTGCGTGAACTGGTAATGCAAGATCATCATATGACATATCGTGAGATTGGGTCATCCTTGGGCATTAGTGGGACCAGCATACATTCAATATTAAATGAACATTTGGCCTTCAGAAAAAATTGTTACCGTTGGATCCCACATAATTTGAGAATCGATCAAAAAAGGTCTCGGGTCTAGTGGTCAAAAGAAATGCTTAAAAAATACGATGGCGGTGCTTCAAAACATGTTCATGACATTGTAACAGGTGACGACTCATGGATCTATGCGTATGAACCTGAAAGTAAACAGCAGTCGACTGTGTGGGTCTTTGGAAGCGATTGATGCGTTCAAAATGCATGTTTTGGAGGTGCCTCAATCGGAGTGAAAAAAATGCTTCGAAAATTGGTTCAAGTGCATGCAAAAGTGTGTCGATCTTCATGGAGAATATTTTAAAAAACAATAAAGCCATGTACGATGATTAATTGTTGTTTGTTTTCTCTATTCCCGAAATATAAAAGGCAACCCTCGTATCAATTAGATCCAGAGATTTTTCTTCTGCCCACTCCATTTACTTGTGTTGAATTTTAATTATATTAAAATAAACAAACTCACTTAAAGAAGGAGACAAATAAACACTTAAATGAGAACAATTCACTGGTCTGTTCGCCGTTTTGTTTTGACCCGTCCAAACCTCCGAACGCATTCGCGAGCATTTCCTTTGATGTCGAAGGAAAAACCGACAAGTGATGGGAACGGGGCGAACCGTTCGCCGAACGGTCAGGATTCGCGAACATGTTCGCAAACGCGTTCGTAGCCCCGTCCAAATTAGTGTTCTGTTTGCCGTTCTGTTAGTTGTTCGGCTTGTTGTTCGGCTCAATGCTCAAGTCTGTACGAGGCTTAAAACAGGAAATATAATGTTGACAAAATACAAAATATAGTATATTGTTTGAGGAAGTTGGCCATTTCCATGAGGGTGCAGAAATGCGACACGAGCCGAAGGCGAGTGGAGTAAAGCATCCGAACGGAATTTCTGAAGAGATAAACTTTACTTTTTTAAATTTTATTAAAGAATTTTTAAAAATAAAACAAAATTATAGATACTTTTTCAATTTAAAACGTATAGTTGGACATTGATAAACCGGCATTAAAGTGTACAAATTCATTAATATGATTAGAAAAAATAATTTTGTTTAAACATAATGCACCTTTAATTATAACTTTGCTGCTTTATCTAAATAATCTTAATATAATATTAAAATATCATTCAATTTAAAAAAAAAATACTGTTAAAAAACTGTACCTACTTCAGTTAAGATAGTAGGTATACCAATATTTTTTTCTTGCATACTTTTATTTATCCTTAAAGAGTATTAATATGCAAATCTAAACTACTCAAACCGAATTAAGGACCACTTTTTAAAAGAACCTGTGCCTTTTTTACTTTTAAAGTAATCCTCGTATAAATTTATTTGCTTGTACTAATATCATGTATACATTTTTTCATGTGAACAATTTTTTTTATTTTCATACCTTGTTGTAGAAATGCGATTTATTTAAAAAAACTCGTTATTTTAACATTTATTATAAGACATATTTCAGTCGCACTGTGAATGTTGATTAGGTTGCTTCATTTTAGAGCGAAATTTTTTTTTCACATAACTCTAATAGTATAGTTATTACAGTTATCAGAAACTGAATTTTTAAGAATTTGACACTTTGAGTGGCTGTTCAAGCTAAACTATAAGTGATACAGAAAAATATTTCGTAACAAATTTATAAGGCACAAAATTCCCTATAAAATTGTTATTTACGTTTTTTATCTACAATCAATAGTTTAGTCTCCAAATACGATTT